AAGATTCACTCCAAACCTCTGTTCTCTCAGGTGGGGTCCCCCTGATACTCCTCAGATTCCTCTGTTCCTTCCTCTTCGCAGGATCTTCTTGACATGAGATCTTTTATTATCTCAATTTCTGCTAGATCCTGAGATCTTCACTGTCTTTCCCCACAAGACAGGGAAAAGCAGCTTGTCTGGCAATAGGACTTAACTGCCTTCAGTTCAGGCCCCCCACTCTTAGAAAACAAATACACTTATATGTGGAATCTATAAAAAAAAAAAAAGGTACAAATGAACTTATTTACAAAACAGAAGTAGAATCACAGACACAGAAAACACATTTATGGTTACCAGGGGATAAGGGGGAAAGGGGTAAATTGGGAGACCAGGATTGACACATGTACACTACTACATACAAAGTGGGCTTCCCTGGGGGCTCAGATGGTAGAGAATCTGCCTGCAATATAGAAGTTCCAGGATCTATCTCTAGGTCAGAAAGATTCCCTGGAGAAGGGAATGACTACCCACTGAAATATTCTTGCCTGGAAAATCCCATGGACATGGGAGCATGGTGGGCTACAGTCCATAGACTCGCAAAGAGTTGGACGCAACTGAGTGACTAAGCATATATATAAAATAGATACTAATAAGAACCTACTGTATGTATAGCACAGGGAACTCTACTCAATACTTTGTAATGGCCAACATGGGAAAAGAATCTAAAAGAGTGGATACATGTATAATTAATTCACTTAACTAATACAATACTGCAAATCAACCATGAAAATTGTGTTGAAAGTGTTAGTTGCTCAGTCGTGTCCGATTCTTTGTGAACCCAGGGGCTTTGTGATTCCATGATCACCAGACCAGTCCATGGAATTCTCCAGGCAAGAATACTGGAGTCAGTTGCCATTCCCTTTTCCAGGGGATGTTCCTGATTTAGCGATTGAACTCACGTCTCCTGCATTGCAGGCAGATTCTTTACCATACAAGCCACCAGGGAAGTCCACTATGCTAAATCAACTATACTCCAATAAAAAATAAAACAAAATAAACATAGCCACAGAAGCAGACCCAGCCCTTGGCCCAGACTCTGACCTCTGCCTGTGCCCTCAAGTATCTTATCTCCTAACTCATCTTGGGTGAGCACAGATGCCAGAGGCTTTTGAGGTAAGTAGAACCTTCCGCATCAAAAGTGTTCCTTTGTGCATTTCTCTGCATCCTTATAGTGCCCTGAGAAGGCAGCTTGTGAGGATGAGGTAATAAAGGCTCAGAGTTCCCATGACTTCCTCTTGGTTATCCAACTAGTTGGTCACATAATTATATCTTAAACCCAGGTGTCCTAGTCCCATCCCCGCACCTCCCCATACACACACACACACACACACACACACATAAAGCTACAACATCCTGGCTTCAGGTTTTCCACATTTGTTAAAGAAAAACAAGGAACCGAGGGCAACTGCAGGCTCATCACAGGCAAATCTCACAGCTCTCTGAAGCCAGTAGGGAGAGTTGGTTTCGCTCTGCAGGTAACAGCCTGTAGAATTCTTTCTGCTGACTGCTCTGTGAGTATTTGCCTGGCAGGTACCATCTCCTGTCAGTTACCTGTCTGTCAAAGTTGCTACTTCCTTCCCCAGGGTACTTTTCTGCACAAGCTGCCACTTCTGACCAGGAAAAGTATCTGCTGGGCAAAACACCTCCTCCCCCTCACCCCTCTGAGGCCCAGAGGACCTACTTGATCAGACTTGCAGAGATCCGAGGAGCCTGTGGATTCAGTTGGCACCTGCAGTGGAAGCAGAGACTCAGACAGCCAGTTCAGATGATGTCCCAGAGGGAGAAAAAGCCGGGAGACACATTCCAAGAAGAGACCCAAGATAGCAGGAGCTTTCAGCACTGCCCGAGGAGCTGGACATCAGCTGGGTCTCAGGACCTGGCTTCCCTCATGCCTTGACTGCTGCGAAGCCAGTCAGGACCTTCCAGTTGTGGCCCCAGTTTTCAATTCATGTCTCTTAAGGCAAGTCTCACAAGGGCCACCACCTGCCCTTGCACTTTGTTAGCTGCAAAACAAACAGTTTTCCCTAGCTAAGGGAGCTCTGGTTAGAAAGAGTGATTGTCTGGATACTTTTTTTTTCCTTCTCAAAGCCTGAGTTTTGGAGTTAGCAGCCTGGCCGTGCAATCTTGGCTCTGCCACTTACCAGCTGTGAGACCGCAACAGGTCCCTACAATCATTTAGGCTTCAGTTCCCTTATCTGCCAACTGGATCATGCTGCCCATCTTCACAGGACTGCTGGGGTGTTGCAGGATAGTGCTCATGGGCACCTTGGTTTGCAGCAGGTCTCACTAAATGGCAGGTCTTGTTCTCTGCATCATTGGAGGGAGGATGGAGGCAAGCAAGGCTGACTCTTTGGCTCTGGGATCTGCCAGTCTCAGCCTGCCCTTGGGGTCCATAGATGATTCCCTGAATGGGGAATGATTCTTCCCTCTTGCCCTGAAGGAAGGGCACCTGCTGCTCACGTATGCTAACCCTCTTAAGGGAGCATCTCTACATGTGTGCAACGCTTTGTTTGTAAAATCAGGGGAACAAAGATGAACTCCATCACAATATTGCCTTCAGCAACCTGTTCGGTTCTTTTCACCCACACTCAAGACCTTTGTGGTGTCTCAGTGACAGGGAATTGGCTGCCAACATCTTGTTCCCCTTTGGGTAGAAGAGCTGAGCTCCCCACCCCTACTCTCTCCCATTGTTGAAGACCACTCAGTGAAACGTGCTGGCAAGCTGCTACCATCCAGGCAGGCGAAAGCTGGGCCTGATTACCCAGCCTGCGTCTCTGGAACAGAAGCCTACAGAACACAAGGCACCTGACTGTGGGGCTTTCACCTGGCGCTGACGCGGTCTTCACGACGGTGAGACCACCAACACTGTCCAGGAAGGGCTGCAGATGACTGCTTGGCAGGCCTGTGCAATGGAAGAGCCATTAGACTCTAACTCTTGGCTGTAACACAGCGGATTTTTATGTAATTTGTTCACTACAAAACATCCATTCATAATGACAGAAGTAAACAATCATGAATTTCCATCACTTTATGTGGTCTCACATTGCAAAAGCAGGTACTGTGTTGACTGACTACATGACGAAATCCTCCTCACGTGAGCACAGGTGTGTAAAAAAAGGATGCGTTACTGTCACACCTCTGTGGGATGATAGTCATCAGACTGAAAAGTAGGGGAGATGCTTTGTGAAGTAATTAAGAGCAACCTCTGCTTTCACAGAAAAGTAATAAACTCAGAACCCCCAAATTTTCCTCTCCAATTAACTGTGACCCACACCTAATAAACCTGCTGGGATTGTAATGTTGGGTAAGTTCAGACTAGTAAAGCCACTTGGCTGGGACCATTCTGGAAAAATATTGGCAGGCCAGGAAAGGTGAGGGAGTGCTCCCTTTAAGAATCCAATTTCAGCCTGGCCTGGGCAAGGGAACCTCCAAGGTCAGCTGGATCCACACACCCTCCTCCTCTTACCTGGAGCTCCTATCCTGTCTAAGCCACCTCTTAGCAGTCAAGGAGGGTCCTGGGCAAATGGAGAGCCCAGCAACTTTTATGTGTCCCTAAAATAAACATCTCCTCACTTCCTACTCTGGGAATGACTTCGAAACTAAGCAAACCTACCCCAGACAGTAGAACAAAGGGCAAACAAAACTGAAAAGTGAAAAGATGAATTCAGACACATGTTTCTGGCATTCACAGCTAAAATTTGATGAGATGAGAAAGAAAAGACAATCACATGTTTCTCCTTTGCTCCCTGAAAGCTACTCAGTCACTGCTTTTAGAACCTCGTTGAAGACCCATATTTCTGACATTCTGTATTCAATGTAGAGATCCCAGTTTTTAACTTTACTAAAAAAAACAAAAACAAAAACTCTGAACTTGAAATATCCTGTCTTAAGAATCTTCAGCCTATTATCCTCTAAGGAAAAGTATGTTTGCAGGAAGGATGTTTCAGTCCTGCCAGCCCCACCTCGATCTCTAGGACAGCCTGAGATACTAGCTCTCCCCACTCAGAAGCCTTGCTTCATGACCCAACCCAAGAACTTTCACACTGGAGTTTGCATTGCTGTGCCCTGCATGTCCCTTCCCTGCAGTCATGGAATTCTGGAAGGTGCGGGCTCTGATATTAGTCTGGGCACTCAATAAAAAAATTTGTTGAAAGGATGAAGGCTCTAACCGACACACAAGTCATCACCCTCATCTTGTCCACTGCTGTCCAAACTCAGTTTGGAGGAGAATAAGCATTCTTTGCTGTATTTTCTGCTGCTCAGCTCCTTTTAGATGATTTTTTAAAAAATTCAACTCATATTATGTACTTTCCTGTAACTAACCAGGAGAACTAGTTGAGACTTTTCTCAACATTTTCTCTGGCAAGCAAGGTAAGTTGATTGTGAATCACTGGCTCTCATCTTTCTCCTGTGATTTCAAAACTCTTACTGCCCAATAACTGTCCCAAACATCAAAGACCTTCTTTGAAGATAAGGCCAAATTCTCCATTAGGAAAAGACAAACTATTTCCTAACTTTATTTCAGAAGATGGAAGATGGAACGACATGGAATCCCTCTAGGTTTTGTGAGATAAACACTGCCTGGTACATCAGACCAGAAGGCATTTGCTGTAATACCATTGGTAGACATATGAACACAGGGCTTTCCTCACCCACACCCAAGCAGGACTTTTCCACAGTAGTCTTAGACTCCAAATCCATAGTAAATGGTTTACATCCAACAGGTTGAACAGAATTTGGCTCAGGAAAGGGGAGTCCACATGGTCACCCTAGGGAAAAGAAGCTCTGACTACAAGATTATCTGAGCTGAACCAACCTGTTTTGTCCAGATTCCACTCAAAACTGGACCCTTCCAATACTGAAGGATGAGAAACATTCTATCCTCATGTGGCAACACAAACTATGAAAATATGACTGATCCAAGCAGCCAGACGTATTAGACTATGGGCAGAAAACCTCACCTGCTTCTTCTACTTCATTGCTGATCGCCTCAGACGGTGTGAATGTTGACAAGACTTCATGGGTCATGAGTTTCAGGAAGTTTGTTCTGGGCCTGAGGAAAAAGAAAGGGTCTCAAACAAAATAAACAAACACTTTGAAAGTATTTGCTTTTTATAAGGTACATTGCTATAAACCAGACTAATTCCTTATTAATCCATTTTACAAATAAGAACACGGAGAAAAGGCCGTTTTTTTCTAAATCATAGGCTTCCTTACATCTCCAGGTACCTGGCCCTTTGCTAGAAATGGAATAAACAATGGATGAAGAATAAGGATTACATTGAAAACAGTCATTGATCTTACAAAACCATTACCGTTTTCATCAATATTTACCAAATATCTATTAAGAACACATTATAAGCAGCCCTCTTACAAAGTAAGGTGGGCTAACAGGGAAGGGGTTGGGGGTGGTAGGGAAGCAGGTGAGGAATGAACCCCACACACACCAAAATCAAGGGTTATTTACTAGATGGGTCAAGCTGGAGTAGAAGGGTCTTATCAAGGTAATCATCATGAGACAGAGCCACATGTGACAGGGCTAAGAAATATAGATTGTAAACTTAGAGTGATGACTTGTTTATGGGACCGATGAAGGATGGGTGGTGGCAGGGGATGGGCATGGAGGGGCATTAGGTAGAGAGTGGGGAGTCCAGTCATGTGTCAGCACAACTGTCCAGGGCATGAAGAAGCATGGTGGTAGCAGGAATGGAAAAGACGGTGGGCTGGTAGAACAATAAAGGGAAGGGCAGGAGAGACCGGGCAAGTTTAGGGAGGAGCTGACAGTAGTAATGGAGACAGGAATCGACTGGTTCGGTGGATGGGGTCAGAGTGAATGGAGTCCAGAGCAGAGCCAGGGCTTCCATCCAAGTTTCCTAATCCTTAGGGCAGTGCCACTTGAGATGGATCCTTTAAGCCTTACTTCCTGATTCCACCTCCCCTTCTCTACCCATTTCCAACCCTGAGGACTCCAAGGAGGCTAGAGCCCTATTTAGGAAAGCTTTTTGTAAACATGGATTTCTAGATTAAAAACAAACTCCATCTTCCATTGTACCCTCCAGCCCCAAATATTTGATTCAGCCTCATAAATGAAAATATTACATGTAAAAGCTCCATGTGGGAGCACTCTCAGGATTTAGCTTGTTCCCAGCAATAGCAAAGGGGATATACAGGCTGGCTATACCTATTCTCTATGAGCCTTTGGTCAAAAGTATAGAGACACTTCAGGCCTGTCTGACTACAGAGTCTACATTTTTATTGCAGCTATGTGAAAAGTCTGTATGCACATGGATGAGCAGAAACAGTTGTGTTATAGTATAGGAATATGACTAATTTTAAAACACATTTTATTATTAGTAGATGTTTGTACAATAAATAAAAATCGGGGGGGGGGGGGCAGGGAGTACTTTGGAGAACCGTCCTTTGACTAAGAAAGCCTATTCAGGGACAAACAAGCTCCCAGTCTGTGTGGGGTCTGATATACTAGAAACGTCTGCTAAATGGTTTGCTGAATCGAAGCATGGAGATGACAAGAAGTTCCATATGTTAAATACATTTTAAAAAACTGTACCAAATCACTTTCTTTTGTTTCCCTCCCCAATTCCCATTCCTCCGCCCACCTTACTTTCCTAGATAGCAAGGAGGCTTGGAATTTGGAGGAAAGAAAGCAAACTCCCAATGTACAATATGTTCTGGTGCCAGGTTAATACTTTCTTATTCAGAGGCCAGAAAGTACTAGAAGCAATTATCTGGTACACTTGGGTCCTCTTCAGCTTCTTCCCGCTTGTTTAAAAGACACGGACCATACTGGGGACTTTGTCAAAAACTGAACTCAGATCCCCAGGGTCCCATGGAATACTATGACCACCATGTTCACTTCTCACCATGCCAGCTTACACACTGGGGATCCCTGGCAAAGTCCACTGAATTATTTCATGAGTAAAATCTCTTACTCCTTCTTACTCCTTACTTCTATGGAAACCACAGGTAAGCTGCTGAAGAGAACTAGAAGCCCAAACATTTGAAAGAGCATTTCAAAGAAAGGAAAATTTCTGGACCCATTTGGAGGAGGGAAAAGAATATAAATTACCCTCTTAACACAAGTTGACCAACCAATCAACAGCTAAGCAGGGGGGCTCTGTTCCCCCCTTTCCCATCCCAACTGTGGTCAAGGAAGCAACTATACTGGCTTCTATCAACTTCCTCTCCCCAGTAAAGCCAACGCTATGGCTTGGGCAATTTCTCCTGAGAAAATGTATCTTGCAAGGTTACTCTTCTGAGATCTCTTGACAGAGGATAAACAGGACAGTGACCCTCAGATTTAATAGGTGTAGATGGCCTCCAGCTTCTTAAAGAGCCAAGCTCTGAGCAATAAGTGTGGGCAGGAAATGTCAGCAAAGCAGCAACTCTTACTTCTTTCATTTTCCATTCACTCACTCCAAACACTCATGCTCCAGGAAAACCGTAACTCCAGTGCTGTTCCCCCACCTCCCCCCACCTCTGTCCCAGGGACCCCAAGGTGCTTCAAGGTTACCATGGGAACCTTCTGGGTTTCAATTATGAAACCATTAAAAAGTACCAATTATAAGACCTCAGAAACGTTCCTGAGAAACCTGTTACACACCTCAAAATGGTCAAACTCTTGCCTCAGATTCATTTTAAGTAAAGTTCAGAAAACAGGTCACACAGATGTTTGGGAGCCTGAGCCCCCACCTTAGTCCAAGGAGACTGTTTCATTCTGCCCTTGAGAAAATGAAGACTGATTTATTGGCTATATCCAAAGAGATGACAAACCATGACAGGGCTGGGCTGCCTGCAGGCCCAATTGTGCAATAAATTAGAAATGTGTGTGCATTCAAGAATTTTGAAAATGTCATTCATTCACCACCCAATGTTCGCCAAGTTCTGGGTAACAAAGATCTAGGTGATGAATGTGAGCTGGGTACAGGGCACCTGGAGGTGGCACAAGGGCCTGAAACCAAAACATACTTTTCACTCAGTTCATTCAAAGAGGTAACTCCGGGTCAAAAACATATTCGAATCCATCCGAGCTTGCTGAGAAGGGATGGGGGAAGGCAGAATACCCCACCACACCCAGAAAGTGCCTGTTTAGGATTGCTGGTGTGTGGTTTGGGTATTCTTAGCTCTACTGCCACATCTCTGGAGGCACACAACCTTCCAAGGAACCCTGCCACTGTAACCCCATCCCCAAAACAAAACTAAGCAAACAAATCCCCAGGGCTCCTTAATCTCCTCCAGTTCTCTCCCCACCCCCTACCCCCCAATTCTCTTACCATCTGGAAGAGCAAACTAACACTGGCATCCTGAAAGTTAAGCAGAGCCTTCAAAAATCCAGCAAAAAACTCTTCTTGGGTTTCCTGCCCTTCCCCACAGCCCCTTCTCATTTGTTCCAAGGGATCATTTCCCCACCTCTCTCAGTTACACAAACAAACCCCCGCAAGAGCACAACCCCAGGAGGACGTTGTGCACGAAAACACACACACACACACACACACACACACACACACACACACATTTGACCGCACGCTGCTCCAAGCCCACAGACACCTCTGGACACCCCCACTTCAGCCTCGCCCCTTCCACCTTCCCAGCGGGGGATGTTTTCCTGGCGCTGTTTTGCTTCCAGTCCGTTCAGTCTATCTAAAAAAAAAAAAATTTTTTTTAAACGCCAAGACGGTAAACTCCGATCCCACTAAGAGGCCAAAGGGGCATGCGATAGTTTTGTGTATTTGCAGACTTCATGTGGGCTTCTCCCCACGGCCCTGCTGCGCTCTGAGCCTGGACCTGGTGTCTACCTTCGGGGGAAGTTTGGGAGGCTGTCCCGGCCCTTCTTCCATAAGGGAAGCTTCTGGGAATGATCGGCCAGACCGCGCCTGCATGGAACCAGACGCAGCGCTCCAGGGCCCGGAGACGGCAGCCCGGCATCCCGCCGCCAGCCTGGGCCGCAGCCCCCCGCCGGAGCCCGCGGGCAGGGCGCTCAGACCGCTCCCGCCGCCGGCGCGTCCGCATCAGCCACCCGCCGGCGCTTCCTCAGTGTGTGCGCTCGTGTATGAGTGTACGCTCGCGGCGGCTGACACGGGCGGGCCGGGGTTCAGGGTTCCCGCGGAAGGGAGCTGCGGCAGCGGCGGTGGCAGCAGGAGGACAAGGCAGGGAACGCCGCGCCCCACGCACCCCTTCCTTCCATATGGAAGAAGCTTTTTTGGATGACTGAACTCACAAACAATTCCTTCTTTAGCTTCTCCTGCCTAGGAGCCTCCCATTACCGCGCAAGGGGGAGGGGGAGCAGAGGAGGCGGGGAGGAGGGGAGGAGCAAAGTGGAGCCGAGAAAGTCTTGGAAAGGAAGCTGGAAGGAAAAAAGTCTCCCCAAACTCAGTTCTTCTCCTAATACCCATTTTCTTTCTGTTGCGCCTGAATCCCGTACTTTCCCCCAACTTCTTCTCTCCCACGCCAAAAGCAAAGTCGTCTTTCTCCCACACGGCTCCCCTGAACCCCCACTTTCTCTTTAGCTTCACCTCAGACCCTAGCTCGCCTACACTATACTCTCCTCTCGCCTATCTCTTCTCCCCACATCTTTTTCTGATACCCATCCCCGCCCTTCTTAATGGTCTCCATTCTGCAAACAAACGATTGCATAAATCATTAAAAGTAGACTTTGTTATTAAATGCTCCCCTACCCTCTACCCCCAAATGGGGCAGCAGCTGTCGAGAAAATTATAAGGAAACCGAAGCCCCAGTGCTACCTCCCCTGACCTACGCGGTGGGTCAGGAGAGAGAGTTTGCAGCGCCCTGGCCTGACCTCCATTCATCATCCCAGGGTGGAAGCTTGAGGAAAAGGATGAGAGAGCTGAGGCCAGGGAGGGGTAGCGGCTGCAGAGGAGTTAGTTACCTCCATGAAATTAAAAGACGCTTACTCCTTGGAAGGAAAGTTATGACCAACCTAAATAGCATATTGAAAAGCAGAGACATTACTTTGCCAACAAAGGTCCAGGGCTATGGTTTTTCCAGTGGTCATGTCTGGATGTGAGAGTTGGACTGTGAAGAAAGCTGAGTGCCGAAAAATTGATGCTTTTGAACTGTGGTGTTGGAGAAGACTCTTGAGAGTCCCTTGGACT